AAAGCGACTTTGGGGAGATGGATCATTGGGTAAAGTTCGACTCATAAGCCCCATGTCTTTAGTCTGATCTCACAAATATGTGTTAAAAAACAACAAAACTAACAATCCAAACAACAACAAAAGAGAAATGAAAGCAGCCAAGGTGGTGTACACATAGAACCCATTGCTCGTACTCGGGACATGGAGAGAGGAGAGTTTCTGAGGCTTGTCGGCCGTGTACACTAGACTATCGACAAGACCCAAACCTCTAAGAGACATTGTTTTTAAGGAACAGTGTGAATCCTGACAATGGTAGTGCTGGCTTTTATTTCCCAGCACCCATAAGGCAGAGTCAGGTGAATTTCTATGAGTTTGAGGCCAGCATAATTTACAGAGTGAGTTCCAGGACAGCCAGGGCTGCACAGGTAGAAACCCTGTCTCCAAACAAAACAGTGCGGACAGCTCATCTAGAATGATCAACCCAAGTGCCCCAGGTCTCCATTTACATGGGCATGCTTGCATATGAAGAACTGCACAGTTGTAAGCTTGCACTCAAAAAAAAACAGGCATGGGGCAATGATCTTAAAATTCCTAGGACTTGTTCATGTAACACATAGTTACACAAACACCATGTCAGGCACCTGGAAGATGATAGTGAAAGAAGAGCCATCACGTCACAGACTAGGGTTTAGCAGGAGAAATGGACACACTAATTGGTTTGAGGATGGGCTGAGTATCCAAGAGTCCAGTTGGGGAATGATCTCCTCGGGCAGGAAGTACTTCCCCGGAGGTATCAAGGGACAATGGCTCATAGTAACACAGCAAGGTCTGCACAACAGGAAAGAGAATAAAAGGGCCTGGGCCTCCGTATGTGATAACTGGGTCACATGGATAAGAAGCAGGATAGCATCTGGGCCAGTGGCAGCCTCCAAGGGGCATATGCAAGACACTGCTGTCCTCTACCATGTTCTTGCTTCTAATAAGCTAATTGTTACAGACTATGATTATGGCTCCTAACAGGAGGCTTCCACCCTGTAGTTAAGTATCATGTCACCAAGAACTTTGGCAGTCACATCTTGGTGGCTGAGACAGAGTGAACTCTATCGTGGTAGAGCTACAAGGCAGTCATGATAATATGTGAGCAAAAAGAACTTAGGGTAATTAATGCATTCAGGACAGCCACACTGTGGAGGATGTAATGATGGCTGGGTGACTAACGACAATCAATGACAGCAACAAAATCAGAGGCAGAGATGCACCTAAGTTGGGTTCAACAACACAAACTAAGAGCAAAGTGTCATGAGGAGGTTTGGTGCCCTCTATCCTTATGTCCCCCCCATCACTGGTTCTGGAGGAAGCCTGTTGCCATGACATAAAGTCACTTAAGCCATTCTGTGGAGACATTCACATGGCAAATGGCTAAGACCATCTGCCAGGAACAACTATCAACACCAATTCTCTGGCTGTGTATGTGTGTGTGTGTGTGTGTGTGTGTGTGTGTGTGTGTCTGTGTATATGAACTTGTGTATCTGTATGCATATATCTTTGTGTATGTGTATGTATCTCTCTGTGTGTGAACGTGTCTCTGTATGTGCATGTGTCTGTGGATATGTCTGCGTATAACTATGTGTATGTGTATCTCTGTGTGTGAGCATGTATGTGCCTTTGTATGTGTGGCTGAGTGTGTGTGAGTGAATGTATCTTAGTGCATGTGTGTGCTTGTATATGTGTGTCTATGTGTGTCCGTGTATGTGTGTGTCCATGTGTACCTGTGTGCTTATTTGTGTGTGTGCGTGTGTGTTTATGTGTGTGCATAAATGTACATGGGCACTTGTGCATGTGTGTGTATGTATGTTATGTGTATGTGTGTCTGTGTATTTATCTAAGTGAAAATCTGTCTTTGACCATCTTGTTGTAAGAGACATGGGCATCTGTGTTTCCTTAAATATAGTAAAATCTTGTGTAGGTTGCTTCTGATCCTGTGCATAAGGATTACAGATGAACACTCTCTGAGCACAAGTTGCTGTGAGTACTTCCATGTTGCTGGGGTCTCTGGCAGAAGCTTCTTCTTGGGTGGGGTCCTGGGAAACCTGATGTGCCATCCTTGCTGTGTGTCTACCTCATCCCATTTGTGCCTGTGTCTTTCACGACAAACACTGGGAGTTATTAGTGAGTGTTTCCATGAGCCGTATCTCCTTCTGCAACATGCTGGAGTTCTTGGTGTTCATCATTGGCTTTTCACAGCCATCTTTGATAGACTGCCGAGCAACCCTGAGAACCAGACAAAGGGGTTGACCCCATAGACCCTGAGTGAGGATTTTGAGAGCCAGCTCTGCCACAACTGCCCTGACTTGTGCAGAATGCTCAGAAACACACATTTTCCTGCCAGCAGAGGGAGGGATACCAGCATCCATCACCACCTGCTCGTAGGAGCTAACGTGGATCATCAGCAGAGTGCCACCTTCACACAGCAGCGGGTGAGTTTCCCTGCGATGGGGAACACCTGCACCACCTGGCCTGTCATGGCAGGTCACTTATGTACAGACAGTGCTGTGCACAGACCTGGGGCTCTCCCATGTTTCACACAGAAGTTGTTTTGATAGTTTGAAAGGAGACTATTCTACTGACTTTTGATAATTTGGATATTTTTTCAGTTAACACTCTAGCAATGATGGGTCTGCACTGCCCATTCATCTTTCCCATGTGCATCTGGTTTTGACAGATTCTGCAGGTGTGTGAGTGTGTTTTTTGTAAACATTGGTGGGAGAATCAATTTACCTTCCTGTCAGCAAGTAGTTTTCCAGCCCATTTCTCCAGTAAGGAGTGAGGCTTTGTTCCTGTGTTGATTATCTAATTGCCACAGGCTACAAAACTTGCCCAGGGCCACTCTAGCCTTTCTGGAAATTCTTAAGGAATTCAGGAGGAGGTGTGGCTCCAGAGGATTACAGGCAGTTGGAAGTGAGGTGGGCACTAATAGAGGGGCTCCTGTTTGGAGGACAAGAGGGGTGATTCTGACTGTTAGCTTTTGGAAAGTGAATGCCACAGATCAAAATCTGACTCTGAAAGACAGGTAAGACAATCCTAATCAGATTAAACTTTCTTTTATGGAGAACAGGGGAGTCAGGTGCTCTGGCAGAGCTTCTAAGGGAAGGAAGAACTGAGGCTCCATTTACTAAGGACCTTGCCAAGATGTGTCATGTGCTCATAGATATTTCTTGGGCAACTAGATGAGACTGTGTCTGAGCAGAAAGTTTTGTGACTTTCAGAAGGTTGAGCAGCCCTCTACAGAATAATATTCACACAGATGAGCTTACCAAAACCTTAGAAAGGCTGTTTTTGTGAATGCACAAGCTTTGTGAGTCGAATGAGGAGAACAAGGAAGTTCATCTAACCCCACCATGTTTAAAACACAGAGCCTCTATCAAGCCACTGAGAAGAAGATTTGGAATTATGGATAGCTAAGTCACTTAGTGAAATGACTGAGAGACTGAAATTCCTCCAATGACAAGAAGTTGCATATACAACATTTCCAAGAATTTAGTTAAAACTAGTTATTTAGAATAAAAATTACTAAGGTTAACCTTTATTATTATGATAAATCTTTTATTGGCATGGGCGGTTGTTTTCTGCACATTAACTTTCGATTCCAATGTCAAAACAGAGGAGTAAGGAGATATCTAAAGGGTAAAGTGCTTGCTGGTCAAAAGAGTCCATGCCCACACTCCAGAAAAGGCCAGGATGACAGGAGATGTCTATAACTGAGGCCAGGGAAGACAGGGGTACAGGGACCTGGAGCCATCAGCCAAGCCAAGATAGTAAGCTCTGGTTCAATGAGAGGCCTTGTCCCAGCACACAAGGTGGAGAGCTCACAGATACCACCCCAGAAATTAAGTGTAGAGTGAATGATCCTGGGCATGGATTCTAACCTACACAATGTATACCCAAGGGTGAGCATACCTACACACACACACACACACACACACACACACACACACACACACACACACTATACACATGCTAATACAATAAAATGCAGACACCTGTTTGCATCTTGTCCAGGCTCATTCATTGTGACAATTTGAAGATTTTTGTGAGGTTTTACCAGTTATCTTACAGATGTCAGTTGAAAATAGTTATGCTTATGATCGTGGTGCATAAACCCCACAAATGTTTGTTCAGTGGCATGACTGATGGTACTTAGTTTAATATTTAGACTTAAAAATAGCAGTTTCACAAAATTCCACTTAACATTTTTAAAAAATATTCTTTAGATCTGAAGCAAAATAAAATACAGTGCCTCCTGTATTGCAGCCTTTAGTTAGGCCACAGTGGTCTTCATGCCTGGCTTGGTAAGAGCAACTGAAGAGGTTGAGCCCACTGATGGGAAATAAAGTGAAACCTGTTGGCTCAAATCTTCCCTTGCTCAGCCGCTCTTGCCAAGACTATGGGGACATCCTGGGCCATAGGCACACCAAGCAGAAGTAAAAGAATAGCTGTGAAATCTCTTAGCTTAGGCCTGTTTCCATGCAGGCCATCTCTACAGGCCTGACAATGAGGGAATATGTAACACACGAGCCTATAACATAAAACAAAACATTAAACTTTCTTATGGTGGAGAAAGCAGGTGAAAGGGTTCTGGCTTATTAAGGAAGCAGAGTCCAGACTGCAGCTCCTATTGCTTTTGAAGTACTCTTGAGAAATCCATGCCCAAGCCCTTTAGAGTCAGGTTGCTTTCTAAGTAAACATGGTTGCTAGGAAAGAGAGAAGCATGGGAGGGAAAGGTATCAGCCATGGGGGATTTGCAGGCATTTCTGAGATTATAAAAACCAATGTGGATGTTTCTTCTAGAAAGCCATTAGCTCCTCATGCCTCCCGTGTGGGCCCCTCTATCCTGCTTGGCCATAAGAAGGCTGCTGAGAATCATTCAAGCCAGTTACAGAAATTGCTTAAACTTAGTATTGGAACACAAACACATTAGCCCAAAGTGCTGGAAACATGGTGATGCTCACAAAAGCCCTTACTTCTTCTCTCCTTTGTACCATTCGAAGGCCGGAGGCGGGACACCTGCGCCCTCGCATCTTATCAGTCCGCTGCGTCCAGGGGTCACAGTGCCAGATTTAATTTCCTGGATTGTAGGAGCAACTGAAAGAGAAACAAAAACACCATGCTGGGTAAAGAGAAGTAATCTTCAGCAGGAATGGCTCTCTCTCTCTCTCTCTCTCTCTCTCTTTCTCTCTCTCTCTCTCTCTTTCTCTCTCTCTCTCTCTCTCTCCCTCTCCTATTCCTTCTGTATTCAAAGCGATATCATGCCTGGCAGTCCAGTGCAGACCAGCCCCTGTGTTTTATGTTTCAGACACTAGACCAGTCATTTTCAGCTCCATTTTTCAAGTTGGACAATAGATGAATGTTCTCGGGGAGTACAGAGTAAATGCAATACATTTTGGCTGGTTTTCTATTGGAAAAATAGCACAGTGAGGTGAATACCTCATCAATATCCTGGTCAAACCATACTCCATCTCACCCTCCTTTATAGAGCGATCACAGGCAGCTGGCACTACTGCTTCAGGTTCTTGTTTTCCTCACATGATGCCCTGAGCCTGGACAACATTATTCCCATTTCATCAATATGAAAACCTGAGGGTCAAACTGCTATGTAGATGCAGAGTTTCAAATCAGCTATGGCTAGGGAGGCAGGGGACTCTTTCCTTTTTTTTTGTGACTGTTATCCAGTTTCCTATCCCCAGATGCTCTTCACTTCCAAAGATCTGTCCTCCCTTCTCCTCCCTGTGGCTCCAACTAAAGCAACTTTCTCTTCAGAGCTGTTTACTAGAGTTGATCAAACTGTAGACTTTATTCACCAAATGGTTACTGAGCCTTCCACATGTTCCAGGCAGTTCTCAAAGCACAATAAAGTCATATTCCGAAAAAAACTGAGTATGAGTCCTAGAACATGTGGGAGAAAAGGGGATAGACTACAGACAGTAAAATTCATGGCCACTTGGCATAAATACAGTGCCAAGTGTCAGAAAGTGACAAATGTATTGTGATGTACTGCACTGGTAACGTTTCTTGGGCCCTGGGTTTGAGCCTCCCAGGATCATGGCCAAAAAGATACTAACAAACAGAATGAGTTTCACTTACACATATCAGGTGTTCTTTCTTGTACACTTGAATACAGAAATGGTAAGTCCTCCCAGAGGAGGGACCATGAAAGAGTCGAGGGGTATGTGTGCTAACTTTGTGGATATCTGAAGAAAGCCTCCAGGTAGAGAACACATAAGGTCTGAGACCTGAGAGCCACAGAAATTCTCATTTTTGTGAAACAAAGGGAGATAGGGCCATTATGGGAGGAAGATGGAGGCCAGGAAGGGCCTTAAGGATCCTTGGGGATCTAAAGAAATGGCACAGCCTAACACAGGAATGTCAACTATATTGTGCTTTACAAGGGTCCAGTGCTGCTGCTGTGCTGAGGAAAGGCCTGACTGAGGGCACAGTGGAAGAGGAGGGAGACTTTGGGACTAGGAGGAAGGCACACTGTGCTGACACACAGGCAATGGGTTTGTTGGACAGTGCCCAGGCTTGGGATCCATGAAGACATTGGGGCCAACAGGACCCTTGACAGAAGACAGTGTAGTGTGGAAACCATTAGGAGGTGAGGGCAATTGGCTCAGACCACTGGGCAGTTTGCCAGGGTGCTCACGTAGTGTGACAGGATCAGGAGCTGGATGAAAACCCTTTTCATAAGCATCTGCATTTGACAAGGTTTGAATATAATAGATTCTAAATTGTACCACACAGAGGGGTCCCTACACCTAGAAACTCGAAGATGTAAATACAAGTAATTTGAATATGTGAGCTGGGCGTGTACTGAGAGTACATCTGAGGATTCCACAGAAAGCAATGAAAAGTGGAGGCCTTCAATGTCTAGTTCCAGGGTCTTGTGAATATGAAAGCATTCTTAAAAGAGAATGCTGTCTTTCCTTTAAACATTCCTAACTACATTCATAATTTTCTATACCAGGTACTTCATTTTGAAATAATAGCACCTCTATTAGCTGCAGTAATTTTATTCTCAATAGTAAAGTTTAAATTATAATCTAAGAAAAAAATGAAAGGTAATAATTTTAATTGCTTTAATAACTTGGTGAAAGTAATGAAAGAATGTTTATCAGAAATATTTTTTTTTAATTTTATTTATTATGTGTACAGTGTTCTGCCATTCATGTATGTGTGCTCTCCAGAAGAGGGCACCATATCTCATTATAAATGGTTGTGAACCACCATGTAGTTACTGGGAATTGAACTCAGGACCTTTGGGTGGGCAGACAGTGCTCTTAGCCTCTAAGCCATCTCTCTAGCCCCCTATCAGAAATATTTGAATGAGAAAATAATATGAAATAATACATGTGTACATGTAATTTAGATATATGAATGAACATATATTGACAGAAATACACTATAAGGAACAATTCAATAACCCTTAACTTTTTTTCAAGCAGAGATTCATGCCACCTTGGAGAATGCAGCCAAAGACACATGAGACCTCTCCAACATAGTCCTCCCCCCCACACCTGTCAGTTGTTATGTGCCTGCTCATCGAGAGAGGTACATCCAAGAGGTGTGTTCTCTAGTGCTCTCAGAGGCTTTCCGGGCCTCTTCTTGTCAGGCTAACAAGCTGTAATCTTTTGATTTCCAGCTATTATTGAAGACAAATCACCATATGCAACAGGTCCTCTGTCAGAGCTTCCACTGCTAACCTGGTTAGTGAAATTAGTTTCCCATTTGTCAAGGGGGCCATGACTCATTACAAACAAATGCATGAAATCCCGAACATTGCCTGAAAACCCAGGTGTAATGAAGCGAAATGAAAATGTAATTCATCATTAAAATGCTCTTATACAGTCCAGTGTGCAGATGCTGGGCACTGGGTGCTTCACAGCCAGAGTTAAAGAGACAGTACCCTACCTGGAAGCATGTGGGCAGCTCTAAGGGACACATACTCTGTTACATGGAATTGTAGACAAAGAATGCATCAATAATAGAAATATTCATAAGAAAATGTCCCAGGTGCATATTGTGTGATGGAGACACTGACCTTGCGGTGGGGGGGTGTGGGGCCCTCATTGCAGAGAGTGCTTCTCATGGACTCTCATTTCATATCTACAGTTGTAAAACTGAGCTAAAGTCTCTATTGATTTTTCTTAGAGACATGAAAATTCACATTACATTTTAATGCTATTGTACATTTTTGCAAGGACTTTGTGGGAAACATGATTTATTTAATTATTCATTTTTCTATCAGTATCAAATTAATGAAACAATAATAAAAATCCCCCATATGGCTGGACATAAACTCCAGTGCATGTGAAGCAGCTCAAAGAACGGAACTTCTCTTCTGGGTGGCCATAACTTCGCTCATTATCTTCATGGTAAGAGCTGAGCGAGGATCACTGTGAGCAAAGAGCTGTGAGTAGAGTTTAAATGCAAGTGAGGCAGACAAAGAGCCAAGGTTAGCTCCCCAGAGCCCAGAAGAAGAGTCCATGGCCCCAACAGAATACAGGAGAGGACACAGTGTTTCCTGCTTCCAAGAACCAGGTTTTATAGCATCTGAGAGGCCAGAATAGCAGATTTAGATGCTGCTTCATGGAGATGAGGTTTGGCAGACGTTTTATCGGAAGAGTGGTATTTACTTAAATCCATGAAAAGTCATTGGCTACTGTCTGGAACAGCATGCCAAAAAAAAAAAAATAGAATGGAGCAGGTGGACTTATGGGAGCTTCTTGGCATCCCTCAGGATCATGAGAAAATCATTGGCTACTCCACAGAGAAGGTAGGATTTGTGAAAAAATAATTAACTACATCCTTAGCCATAGTTAGATCTGCCTAGTTGATTAGTAGCAACTGCATGATTTTAGGAAAATTCCAAATTCACAGTGCTTCAAGCCCTACTCATCTGTTTGACCCCAGAAATGTCTGAGGATGCCAGGTAGGCTTTGTGCTTCTCAGAGGCCATGGTGCCAACACAAGTATTATGAATCTTTCCCTGGGTGGAGGTTTAAAAAATTTATATGACCAAAGAATTCCAGAAGGTTTTACTTGTTGCTTGTTCCACCTATTGACTTATGATTGACTTTAATACTGATTATTTATTATTATTATTATTATTATTATTATTATTATTATTATATTATTATTATTTCAAGCAGAAAGCTCGAGGATTAAAAGTTTGTGCTAGGACTGAGCCACACCACAACTAGAAATATATTGTTCCAGTAAATAACACAAGTTCACAGTGTGATCACATATCCTGCAAAACATAGCCTTTAGGTACTCTGAGTAAGAAAGAAGTCGCAAGTATTTTCACTGAGGGGGTGTGGTAACCCACTTGCTTGACAACCATTACTCCCAGTTAAACTTCCAGCTAAACCTGGAACAGCTGAAACCAAAATATGCTAGGTCGGCTTGTCCAAAATAGCAATTCTATGCTAAAATGTCCTTTGTTTAAGAAAATGAATTAATGCCTGCCCTGGGAAAATGCTTAAACAGAGTGACTACTGTGTGAATTTCTGCTCTGTGCCAGTCATGTAGACCGTGCACACAGGTACAGTAAAGTGTTTGTGTTTCTCTCTTCACAAAGACTGCTTGATTTAAAGGAAGTCACTTGATCCCTCAAATTTTATGAGTACACTGGTGTTCCTTGATGTAGACTTATAGGTGTGCACTGCGGGCATTTGAGCACAGTGCCCTTTGCCAAGTCACAGATGCTTATGAGCTGAAGCAGACACACAGTGAAAAACAGTCAGTTTCAGAAGTGTTGTCACACAGATGTTAGGCAAGTGCTAAGAAGAGATGCTGGGAAATCCAACACAAAGGTCAACCAGGGGTCACTCAACACTTGAATAATTAGTTGCTTTGCAAAGAGGCAACCTTCCTTGTCATTGTCTCTGTGGGTTTAGATTCTTGCATTGTGTAGCCAGTCATTCTAGGAAGATGAGAATGAAAGGTTCTTCATCAAAAACTCCGGGCTGTGCAGGTACAGACAACAGAAATGCTCTATTTGGCACTTAAAAGCCTAATCAGACTAATTTTCCTAGTGACACCACAATAGCCCAAAGACTTCTTGTCTTTTGCCATCCTCAGTG